TGCTGCACTAGGGTAGTTTGAGTGCTGCAGAAGGAAAATGTTCTGTAAATATCTATATTTTGAACCCTGAGAAGRTTCTCTATAGCCATTGCAATACTCTTGTTCCTTTTGAAGCAAATTTGTTTTCTTGGTTTCTTGTACACACATTAAGATTTTTGCAGTAACTGGAAARCAGCTTAAAAAGCTGGCCCACCTTTCCCACACATTTAGTAGAAGTTGCTTTCTCTGAGATATGTGATGTCCATGTCCAATCACAAGCTGTTAGTTAGAGCGTGCCAGTTCAAATAGAGAGAMCAAAGAGTCAAGCTTAGCCTAAGTGAAGACTCCTGAGGAATGAGCATCATCCAAAAGCTGTTTGACAGGTTCTGTCCCTGGTGAAATTTCACCTGGTGGACCAGGTGAAATCCCTGCCTAGCAAATAGACAACCRCCTCTTATTTCACCTGCTTTCCCAGGTGACCCATGAGAGAACYGAGGAATCCAAGCTGGTTCCTACTGCCTACAAGAGGGCTGGTTCTGCCCAAGTCAGGGTCCTTCCCAAGGAGATGAGGTCTCACTCTGGCCATGGGCTAGAAACCATATGACACTTGGTGGTGGGCGTTTTCTTTCCATGTAGACATGGAAAAAAATACATTTTTTTCCAAAGGTATTTCCCTCCTTCCAAAAAAGACATAAAGAAAAAGGAAATAATTCTAAAAAGTGTTCCTTTTTTTCCTGAGGCAGTGCCTAGTCCTACTAAAGGCAAGCTGCTTTGGGTGCCAACTGTATGGTCCAACTCCTACTCAGCCTATTGATCGCAAAAGGGCAAATATCCCCTGAGCTGTTCGTACGTGAACTTGCAGTTATGAGGATAYCTTCCGTCCTGGTGAAGCCCAAGCAGATCCTCCAGGCTGAGCATGGGTCACCCATGCAGACAGCAGTGCCAAAGAGCATGAAGGTTAAACTCAAAGTGAAGAGATCATACAGCCACTGGCGTGTTCAGGTGTGTCAATATCATTTTCAGCTGTCCCATCTCATATCGATAGAGCTAAAAGAACAATAAACACCCAGGCTTCTGAGTGCCAGCAACATTTTTTTTTTCTTTTCTGGGCTGGAATGCTCAAGAAACCTCATTTGTTTCTTCCATTTTGTATCAATCACTCTAATAAAAACTATTGAATATCCCCCAACATTTGTCTTGCTGTTCTGAGACCATGTGACTGTAAGAGCACTACAGTATATTTGTTATGTTGCAAACAACACTTACATTTCCTTGAGGTCATTTGGGGATATTTTGACAGGCATTAGGTACTACTGAAGCTATATTTAGCTGGTAGAAGGCAAAACTGCAGGCAGTCCAATTTGGTGGCTGCTTTGGTAACTGAACCTTTCCTGCAGCCTTTCCGATCTCTTTCAGGGTTGAATTCCATGCACTTCCTGGACATGATTAATTTCCTGTCATTTTTAACCCTTAATTTGATACTTTTTTTGCATATCTTTTAAAAGAAGCAACTTGTAATCACTAATAATCTTTATGTTTTAAAACAATGTGTTCATTGAGACACTTTACATTGACACAAGAAACCTTCTGAGATCCCTATGGCCCAGATTTCTTACCACAACTTCTTAACTTCATTTTTCATATCCATCAGTCAAAGCGATATCAGGATGTGAGCTGGCAAGAGCAATAGAGACTATGTTTTTTTAAACTTTCCATGATTACTTTTACAAGCTAATGTAGGAAAACTCAGGTCTTCCCTGTGCTCTTGAAATTAAAGCTACATATCTTATTTTTTTAGGTTTTTTTTTTTTTAACTTAAACAAACTGGAACTAATTACCACAGGCAGTGGTAGGTTCTCCTGTTGTCCCCAAACCTCAGTTGCCTTTCTGAAAGATTTGCAAATAGTCAAGCATTACAGAACTCAATGCAAAGGTCAGTAGAGAAAGAACCGTATTAGTCAGCAGGCCAGAGGGGATAATATACCAATCCCTCTAGCCATAAAATGTATTTTATGCTTTCTGGGCCCATTTTAGACAAATTATAGAGTTTTTGTCAGTAGCTGTAACAAAATTTGGGAAACATTATAAAACAATTTTATGGCCCATTTCTTTAGAGAGTACCTCATAGATTCTGTTATATGAACCTTGAAAGCTGTAGTTAAGTGCTCTGAGACATATTTGGGGCTGTTTCATCTCAGGCTTTGCCTCCAGCCTCCTTGGCTCAAAGAGCCTGTATGTTTGCAGGAAGGTGACCATTGCATTTAATTGAGATTAGAAACTGGGGAGGCTTCTGGCTCTGCAGCAGCCTGGTGATCCTGGTGTTTTGTGAGCCATGAGAAAGACATGACTGCCTCTGCTGGAATAATAAAAATAAATACCCAATCTGTGCTTTGGATCTACCTACAATTATGTTTTCCTCACTTTAGCACTCCACAAATATAATTTGGCTTGGAGTAAATAAAAATAGTTCATTGAATGTATGTCCTTCCTTTTCAGTTGGTCAAGGCTTGTCTCAAGTTTTGCGTGAATTCAAAATGCTATTGGCATTTGACCCAAGGAACCAAGAAGCTCTGGTTCAAGAACAGTGAAACAAACATTTGGACACTCAAAAGAAACAACCTCCTGCCTGCCACTGAAAACATCTGCCAAATGAAGAGTGCATTTGAGAAAAAAAAGATACTGATTTCATCATTTCTTCCCTTCTGGGCTCACTCCTGGGGAGGAAAGACCCAACCCTGTGCCCAAGGACATGGGGAGACCTGAGGAGCCAGGAGAGCTGGACTATGATGGGGGCTCTGCTTCTCTTCTCCAGCATCAACTCCACCAGTGCCAGCACCTTCCTCAGAGGCCGCCCTTCTTCTGCCCACGCAGGGCACAGATATCTGCGAGCCTCGTGAGCCTCTCCATGGGTTAGGCCACTAAAACCATTTGATTGTGCTGAACGGCAAAGCACTAAAGTGATAATTTGGCTTATTTCCTATGCCTTCCTGTTTCTGGGATTTTAACCTAACTAGCTACATTTTCAAACTTTTTCCCAGTGCATGTAACTCCTCTTTTTTTTTAAGTACTCGGAGCTCCAGCAGCTAGGGCTTTAATTACTAATTAAAGTATATAAACTACTAATTGCCAAATACCATCAGCTTCCCTACAGCGTGTTGCGGGCAGAAGGCAGCACGGGCCCTGGCACGTACTGCCAGGGGCTGCATTTCCTTCCCCGTAGCTGTCTGCGGGCAGTGGYGCAACCGCCCTGGCGCAGGCAGCGCGGCCGCGCGGGGAGAGGCAGCGCGGGACCCTGCGTGCGCCCCGCGTGCGCCCGCTGGAGCTCCCTGACCCRGGGCGGAGAGCTTTGGCTCGAGCCAAAGTCCAGCTGAAAGCAAACTTGCCCGGGACGCAAGGATGGGCAAACAGGCGGGTTTTCCTCACTTTGGAAAGCAGTAGTTATCCCTCATGCTCACATTCCCTCTGTTTTGCAACAGCTCCACGCCGAAAGCAGAGGAGGCTGCATGATACTTGTGCTGTGACCCAGGTCAGGGCTTGCAAACCTCCATGAAATCATATGGTCCAGGAGAGAAACATTTTGGCCACCTGTCCCAGCACCYGGCACAGAACAGCTCCCCAGCTCCCAGCTCCATGCACTCCCTGGGGTTTGGATCCTGCCCCAGGGCAGCGCACGGCTGCAGATCAGGCAATGTGAGTTTGACTGGTCTCAGCTCAGCTTCGAGCCGATCACCATGCACAGAACAAAGATCCACCTGGCAGCTGCACAGGGCTGAGAAGGTGCAACCCATACCTGGGAGGGCAGCATGGAGGAAAAACAGCTCAGTCATGAATGGGAAACAGGCCTGGGCTCTGGTGGCAGATGTGCTGGCAACATCACGAACCGGACGGAATGGACAGGGACGTGGGGCAGTGGGTGACTGTGCCCTGGTGCTCACCTCCACAGCCTGGATGTGGGTCTCCAGTAGCCCCAGCAGGTCTGGGGACATGTCCCTGGTGTGGCACAGAGGATGCTCCTGGGGCTTCTGAAGCAGAAGGGGATGTGAGGCCAGGTGCCATTGACCAGCGTGCAGCAGAGCAGGGACTGCAGCGTGTCCCACACGGCCAGGAGGCACAGGCTGGCGGCATTTCCAAGCAGCTCCATCAACTCTTGACCCAGAAAAATCCCTAACTCTCCCAAACCAAAGATCCCCTACTGTGCACGTTGCAGGAAGCCCTAATTGCAAAAATCAAGGGGAAAAGCAAGGAGGTAGCGAGAGTGGCACATTGCAGACGGGAGCTGGGAATAAAGGGCAGGATGCCATGCTGAGGCTGGATCAGCTGGCCCTGGCCCTGATTCCTCCTACCGCCACCACAGGAGACAGAGGCAGCACTGGTGCATCCCATCCTCCTCCCTAGGCGCGATCCACAGCCGCTGGAGATGGGCATGGGCAGCCCCAGCCCCTTGACACAGCACCCAGGGGACCCTGGCCCTGAGCCACRTCCCAAAGAGGAGAGATGGGGCTCGCAGAAAGCAGCCCTTCGAGTCGCCTTGGGGGATGGCGAGGAAGGCATTTCTGGTGGGGATTGAATCTAGTGATTACTTTAAGGGATTTGCTCTGTCTCTTTCTTCCTCCCTCTCTCACTCTCTCTCTCCCCCTTTTTTTCCCTTTTCCCTCCCTCTTATCCCTTTCGCGGTGCATTTGTCTTCGAGGAACCTGGGGTGTTCTTTTCATCAGTTCAATCTCTCTCTGGCACTTGAGTCCTGATTGGCTGAAGGACTTAGAGAAAAAAAAAATCTTTAATTAAGTAGATAATCTCTTCTTAGGAAGTTCTGCGGCTCCATTTCACCAACCCCCTTTAGCTCTTACTTTGGGATTGGTTACCCTTCACAGAAGTTGGGATTCAGGGGGCATGTGTGTCTTCATCGCACCAGGAGCACCGG